GACCCCTGATATCATCCCACCCCAATCTTAAACCAGTCTGTCACCCATATCACACCCCTCACCACTGCCTTGTTGTCCTCATACATGTCCTGCACCACCCTCACTTTCACCCTCACTCTGCCACTCTTCCTCATGCAGAACCACACTTCCTTTCTTTGAACTCTATCTTATGCTTTCTCAAGATAAACAACGACACAGTGCAATTCCTCCTGACCTTTTCTAGACTTCTCCATCAAAACTCTCAGAGCAAAAATAGCATCAGTTCGCTTTCTTGCTCAGTGACCATCACCTGTCAGCCTAGCTCCAACAACTCTTTCCCATAGGTTTATCCCTTTGTAGTTTTTACTACTACTGCTAATAATAATGAATGAATCCCGATTATCCTTTGTACTACTTTTTAATAAAAACATTAAGAAATATTCATTGTTTTTATTATAGTGTATTAAATGTATCTGTATTAAAATGTGTTAGCCAGTTAGCATCATTGTAACAGACTTTCTAATTTTGTATCAAATTATAGCTGACTCCTGTCTCTGTCAACTTAAAATAACAGATTTTCTATGCCTCGATCAGTTAAAGTTTTAGGATGCTTTTGCTGGGAGGAGCTAAATTAAATAAAATTGAGAAATATACATGGTTGTTGCGACCAGATAAAAAAAATGTAAACCTTTCAATAGTAGATTTTTGTTGGTGGCCCCCTCTAGTGGTCTGTAAAATAACAGCGTGGCGGCCTCCTCTACACTCAGATCAGTCCGTTTTGGCATACTTTTAACTGCTCGAGGTTTTCCAAACTAACAATGTTAAACAAACACAAGAACACAAGACTAAAGAGCGTCAGACTTATGGGGACTAATGCAAAACATTCTAAGGTAAAGCAGAGAGGAACGGGTTGTTTCAGTTTGCCGTCAGAAACTGAAACACTGATGCTATCTTGAGGGCAAAAATAAACCACATGCTGATATAAATAATGACAGGCAACAAACACATCCACATACTTGATGAATCTGATTCCTCATTCTGGAAATCAGTTGCTTCACCTGCTATGTTAACATCCAGACTTGGCCTCAAGTTAAACTCTGAAAACACTTGCTGTGATCAAGGATGCCTAAAAACTGTTAATGCCGCCCTCTGGTGGTAGGATGAGGATTAAGAGTGGATTAGACAGTGAAATAAATCAAGATCGGTTCATTATTCTCATATGATAATTGTGCTCAAAGAGTTTATGTTACATTTTTTAGATGTAGAATTTGCAAAGTCTGTCTCATTCTCTAGTTTAGAACAAATTTTTTCCTGTTTATCTGCAATTTGGAGTTGCTTGATTTTGCCAAGATAAACAATTCCTGGCATTAACGTAGTGAGTTGCTAAACACTGGAAACGACAGACTTTGTGACATTAATGTTTTACTTGAATAGGAGACATTTGCTCTCGCAGCAGCCGACCAGTTCACTCATGGATACAGTTAATTGGAAAATGCGCTGGGCCTCTTGTATCATCTGGTAAGTGGATTAGACATTTTCAAGTTCTCAAATATCTCCTAAAATCCTTTTTTTGGTCATAAATTTCCACTTTTGAGCAGAAATTTTCAAATCATGTAGCTGCAAATAGTGGAGAATTACTTGTGTTTTTATACTGATAATCTGCAAGAATTTACTTTAGATGAACAGTGTTTTATATTTTTATTCATCAGTCAGTATGCCATATATATGCAGTCTTGACAATATTATGTTAGTTGCACAGTGGTGTCGATTGTGCCACTGTGTTTGTTCTTCTCTGTTTGTATCAACTTTGGACTGGCAGATCAGATGACTGCAGACTGATAAACAGATCAAACTCTTTCCTTTATGTACCTTTCTAGGTTTCTGTATGTGTCACTGTGTGAGTGCTCACCTCTGCCAGAACCAGAGCCTCAAATGTACGGGGAGGTCCAATCCCCTCTGTACCCGCAGCCTTACCCTCCCAACCAGCAGGAGCAGTGGGACCTCGTTGTCCCTGAGGGCTACCAGATTCAACTCACCTTCACACATTTGGATATTGAAGCTTCTGTGAACTGCTACTACGACTCACTTACAGTCAGACCCATATTTCAATACATATACAGAATTACCCTAAAAATCATAATATTAATAAATAGCTTAAGGTGAAAACCCAAATATGATTCAAGAGTAACGCTTGACAACCTGATTCGAGCTCACTACTTACATATGTTTTCACGTTTCTGTCAAGGTAATTAACAAGGTTATTATAGTTAAAATCAGATGTAAAAGTTTTGAAAAACTTTTGAATAAAATTAAAACTAACTGAAATTATTTTTTAAAGTTGGGAAATTAAAATAAAACATAATCGCACTTGTCTGATGAGATGTTGCCAAACATGTTTAATGAGACTTTGGATATCTAAAGGACTGTCAGTCAACTGCTTTCAAAAATGCGTGTTTTTATTGTAGTGCTTGATTTTCCTAAATCTTACCTCTGAAATCCATACAATAATACTTAAAAAAGACTAAACTGAAACTATGATAACCCTGGTAATCACCGTGATCATCTTGTTGATTGTGATAATTGTAAGTTAAAAATTTACAACAGTGTATAACCACTGGAGACAACAGCAACAGATAGCTGTAGCTTATCAGCAGATTGTATTGCTGCTGCTATGACAGAAGGTTTCAGAGTCAGTCTTTACTGTGACGTTGCACAGAATTTAAAATGGTAGAGGGACACAAAACTGAACAGATTTTTTTCTCTGCATTACTATATCCAGTTTGATGTCGACTCAACTAAACATAGCATTAGTTCTGGCGGGTCATTGGATTATATTTGGCCTTTCTGGCACTTTTAACCATCTTAGACATATAAATGAAGAACCCATGAACTGAACATAAATTTTCATCTTCTGGATTTTGCCTTATACCATACATTTGCTTATTATGGGCAATTTAACACTAAGGTCAGATTTTATGTTTTCATGTAGGATTTTATTCTTTGATCCTTTAGGTTTTCTACAAAGAGAAGGCCCTCTGGAAATTTTGTGGCAGTGAGAATTCTGCTGATGGGCATCACCCAGGCAACCAGCCCATCTTGTCTCCAGGAAACAGTCTCACCCTCATATTTCAATCAGACAGCAACAACCCAGAGGTCCACCAGAATCTGGGCTTCTCTGCCCAGTACCAGGCGATAGGTAGCTCCTCCACCTCTGCTTCTTGCACTTCCTTCTTTTACTGCTGCACCAACTCACACTAACGTAATGACTTCTCATTATTAGACATAGATGAATGTTCTGTACCAGAGCCTGGAGATGGCTCAGGGCCACTCTGTTCTCAGATCTGCCTCAACACTCTTGGCTCATATCTCTGCTCCTGTCATCATGGCTATGAACTTCGCTCTGATCTGCGCACCTGTGTGTGTGAGTACCATGAAGATGCTTCCAATGAATGTGCGCTCAGACCATCAAACTGGAGTCTGCTGGGAGAACTTAGCTCCACTTCACAAACACATTCAAACATGTAGGATCTCAAGATTACCAAAAGCACTATAAAAAAGAGGAGAGGATGGGGAGTCTGGGTTTAATGTTGGAGGTAGTTGGGTCATCAAACAGCACTAATTATTATCACTTTTTTGATTCTGGACTTAAAACATTGTGTAAGGACTCCCCAAATTATCCTCAAACACTTCAGTCAATTCATTAAGAGGGTAAACTTTCTCAGTTTCTTTCCTCTCTCTCATGCCCAGTATCCTGTGGCGGTGGTATATTTGATGAACCAGAGGGGCATCTGTTCAGTCCGGAATACCCTAATCACCCACCTCATGCTGTGGCCTGTCAGTATGTCATTTCTGTACAAGAGGGCTTCACTATTACTCTAAACTTTACTGACAACTTCCACATTGAGAGCATGGACAGCCCAGAGGGCCCGCAATGTCTCCATCACTGGTTGGAGGTAATGGCGAGCGATTTCAGCACACCTAGATTCATCAAAATCACATGAAATAAAAATGTCTCTATATGTCATACAATTAATAAACTGTGCACTACTCTCTCCTAAAAAGTTGACTGTCAGAGACGAACAGCCCACAAAGCTATGTGGCAGAACGAGCCCAGGACTGATAGTCACAAACTCAAACATGGTCAAGCTGGAATACCACATTGACGATGAAGGACAGAGCAATGGCTGGAGCCTCGACTACAGCACACACAGTAAGGATGACCAGTAACATGTCATCAAGCAACTACAGTTCTCCTAGTTGTCCTTCTGGGTTTAAACCTCAGTGTAAAATATATGTTTGATTGTTTTTGCTGTTTCCAGGGGTGAAGTGTCCATCACCTGGAAGTGTAGCTAAAGGCAGGGTCACTCCTAATTTGAGTGAATATCTCTTCAGAGATTACATCTATGTACGCTGCGATCAAGGATACAAGCTGATGATGGTTAGCTGAAATTGTGTTTTTTAACAGTGAAAAACAAAATAATTGTTTACTGGTTACTGTGTATAATGTAAAACATGGTTTTTACCCTTCTTTAATCTGTCAGAATGGTCGGGAGATGGAGAGTTTCTCTTCCATTTGCCAAAGCAATGGGCAGTGGCACCGTCCTCTGCCAGAATGCCACAGTAGGTTGTCTCTAAGGCTATATACACAAAGTCTTCTCCATCCATACTAGTGTTCAGAGACAAAATGCATTTTGTTGTATTTTCTTTCTTTGTTCCTGTGCAGTAATTGATTGCGGAGAACCTGACCCCTTGCTCAACGGAGGCGTGGCCTTCCTTTCCGGGTTTCAGAATCAGTATCTTTCTGTTATTCAGTATCGCTGCAATGAACCATTTTACTCTCTCCTTGGGGATGCAAATGGTGAGATGTTAACAGTGCAATCTGTTTTGGATTCCTACTGTTCATTACTTTCCTTTTGCACAGTTCTGAAACTTTACTATTAGCAGGCTCCATTAACCATAATGTGCGATTCTCATTCAGTCAAACTATCATGACATACTGATATGATGATACATGATATATACTACCATAATTCAAAACTTAAATAAGATTTAAATGCTAACATGATTTAACTGGAAATATATACCCTTTACATTTCTTCCACAACTCTTGAGGATCAGCAAAAAAAATTGTAAAAGTCACATTGTTTCTTTTTCTGCTCCTCAGTTAACTTCACATGTGATGCAGACAGGAAATGGAGATCAACCCATGAAGTTATTGACAGTCCACGTTGTTTACCAGGTATACATTTCCTGCAAAACTTGATGACGATTAAATGGTTAATTTAATGGGAAATTGATGTGTGAGATTTATATGCAAGTTTGTATCCAATTCAGTCTGTGGTCAGCCAACAAATCACATCGATGTGTATCAGAGGATCTTTGGAGGCCAGGACGCTCCAGATAATGCAATCCCCTGGCAAGTGCTACTTAGTGTTAGGGGAAGGGGAGGAGGCATGGTGATTGGAGACCGGTGGATTATGACAGCAGCCCATCTTCTAGTGGAGAGGGGAGTGGTGGCATCAAATGAATCTGTACGGGTAAGTAGTTGACTGTGAGCATTACTTTGTATGATCTCTGTCTGATTGGGATTCACTTGGTAAATCTTTCCTTTTATGATATTGACTTGCAGATTTTCATGGGACTTAATGAGGTAAAAGCCCTCAAAAAATCTCCTCTGTTTGCTGCTTCAATCCATGTTCACCCTGAGTACAACAACCCCAACGATGTAGACTACAACAATGACATTGCACTGATCAAACTGAATGTCACACTCACATTCGACTCATCTGTAATGCCAGTGTGTTTGCCAGAACCGGGAGCCACATATGATACTGGTGTGATGGGGTAAACAAACTACTATTGTGTGATAATGATTTTATTTATTAAAAAAAAGATTTTTTCATCTTTAATGTCATCTACACTGTATAAAATTTGATGTTACATTTAAGTGTTCTTGTTGTTTGTTAATCAGTTGAGTTGACAAGCTATTATCTTTTAGGTTCTGGATTAGTAAAAATTTTTACGGAACCCACAATGAATGTGTTTTGTATTCTTTCAGGCTGGTGTCTGGCTTTGGTCTTACAAAGGAGAATGATCGTCAGATTCTAACAAATCAACTGAAGTATGTTTATCTCCCAGTGGTGGACCAGCAGACATGCAGTGATTCAGTCACTTCGGCAAGGATAAGAAAGAACAACATACCAGACTTAACAAATAACATGTTTTGTGCTGGACTCCCTGAAGGTGGGAAGGACTCATGCCAGGGTGACAGTGGGGGCCCCTTCACTCTGACTAAAGATGGGCGACAATGGGCTGCTGGGATTGTCAGCTGGGGGGTTGAGTGTGGAGGAAAGGGCACATATGGAGTCTATACCAGAGTCGCTAATTACCTGAACTGGATCAAGAAGACCATGCAGGAGAACTAAAGTTACAGTAATTCAAAACAACAAGGTGTAAATACACGATGAGAAAAAAAATTGCATAATAAACTAAATTTTCTCTGTTGTGGAGTTTGATTTGAGAATTTTTAATCTATATATCATTAAAAAACTATATAAATTCAGTTATTGATTTACTGTCTGTAAGTCAATGCATTATCTTTAAATCACTGCAACGCCTGTCTTTTACTACGTTTGAATAAAGATAGTTATCAGATCTGCATGGGTTTTATTCTTGTGTCTAAGATTATTCAAATCCTCCCACTTTGAAAATGATAAACACATCATCAGTCATTTCATCCCACTCTAACATTACTAAGCAATACTTTTATATGCAAAGAAGGCCCGCTCTCTTTCCACGTGCTTTTCCTTTGGCTCATTCTCTACAGGTTTGTACTTAATACGAACTTAAATTCTTTTGGTTTTTATGTGCAACAATATTCGAGACATTACTGGCATTTTTTCTCCCATACAGATCATGTTTCTACTTGTTTTTGCCAAAACAAACAAAGATAAAAAAGCTTGACGACAAAAAGTCCAGTTCAAATTCCAGTGCTAAATACAGCTAATCATCTTCTGTGTGACAGTCGTGGTTCATTCCAGTCTGAGACATCTCTTCTGGAAGTACAATCAACACCAGAGCTTTACAAACATGGGCTGGACCCACTGCATCATTTTGTGAGTGTGATGAAAATTTTTTTAATTTGTTTCTTGTATTAAAGAATCTTCTTTTATTTCGGTGAATTTCTCATTAAGCTCATGGAGCCTATCAGAATTGCAGAGCTTTTTGTTATATGATGTTTTTTTAATCATTATGCTTCATCTACAACCCATGTTCTAGACATATAGCTGTTAAAGTTGAAGGCGTTGAACAAATTGTTAGTAATGTAGAAGAAATCAGCTTTGTGATTGAAGAAAATTGATGTTAAAATTAAAGTGAAAATCAGCGGTTGTGTCACTTGATTTGCTCTTGTTCTGTTTGCATCAACTTTGGACGACTGACTGAGCTCCAGCTCTCTGTTTATTTGCTTTTCCAGGTTTCTGTAGTTTTCAGTGAGCGAGTGCCAGCAGCTGTCCACCACTGAGCCTGAAATGCACGGACAAATCCAGTCTCCCCAATATCCGCGACCTTATCCTCCCCACCTGCAAAAGCAATGGGACCTCTGGGTTCCCAGGGGTTACCAGATCCAGCTGTCTTTAACACATCTGGATATTAAAGCTTCTGCAGACTGCAGTCAAGACTCTCTCACAGTCAGAGCTTTGATTAGATCTGAATTTAAAAAATATTTCAAACAAGACACAAAACTTTTTATATTGCAGTTTTCAATTTTAGTGTATTCATTCATTCAGTTTGACTGGAAGTTAATTTGAATTAAGACGTTGGTTTAGAATTTTGTGTTTTTACAAAAGCAGTTTGTTAACATGAGTTTTGACTTAATTTTCCAGTTTTTCTACGATGAAAAGGTTGCGGGAAAGTTTTGTCACCAGGAAAACTCTACTGATCACCATGGTGGCGAGACGTTCCTTTTTCCAGGCAACAAACTGACTCTTGTATTCCAAACAAGCGACTCTACACCAGAGCATCAACAACATACTGGTTTTTCTGCCACATATAAGGCAATAGGTACAGTTTTCCTGAAATTTTCCAACTCCCATTAATGTACTATTTCATCAACAGCTTCAGGAAAAGTTTAACACAGTAAATATTCTTTTAATAGACATAGAC